GACGACGAGTAGGACGAGGAGGACGACGAGTAGGAGGAGGAGGAGGAGGATGAGGAGGAATTAAAGAAAAATAAGAAGAAGAATAAGCAGAAGAAGAACAAAGAGATGCAGAAGAAGAATAAATAGATGAAGAAGAAGAAGAAGAAGATGGTTTCGATACTGCACGTTGCACAGTGGGCCAGGAATTAAATCAAGCAGGAGACAACCCTAATAAAAATAACCATAAAATAGAGCTTAAGGGGAAGCTCACCGGCCCAAAAATAAAAAAATATTTTCGGTACGTTTTTATTTTTCTAAAAACATTGGGAAAAATTATCAAAAATCCAAGAAAATCAGTTTCTTCCTTAGATTTTTGTCAAAAATTACAAGCAAAAAAAATTTTTCTATCCCATCATGAAAAAAAATTGGACTCTCAGAAAAACCGAAAAGTTGATGTTTTGTGGTTTTTTGAGTCCAACTTTATGCCATAATGACTTATAAAACATGTTTTTGCACGTGAATTTTCTTTAAAAAATTAGAAAAAATGTGATTTTTTTAGATTTTTAATACTTTTTTTCAATATTTTTAGAAAAATCAAAACGTAATTATTTTTTTCGAAGCGGTGAACTTCCCCTTAACGACGTGTTCAGGGTATCATCCAAGAAGTAGGAGGAGGAGGACGACGAGTAGGAGGAGGAGAACGAGGAGGAGGACGAGTAGGAGGATGAGGAGGAATTAAAGAAAAATAAGAAGAAGAATAAGCAGAAGAAGAACAAAGAGATGCAGAAGAAGAATAAATAGATGAAGAAGAAGAAGAAGAAGAAGGTTTCGATACTGCACGTTGCACAGTGGGCCAGGAATGAAATCAAGCAGGAGACAACCCTAATAAAAATAACCATAAAATAGAGCTTAACGACGTGTTCAGGGTATCATCCAAACCATTTGTGGGATAGTATACCCATCCGGTATAAAGTTCGTTTATGGTATTTATTTATTATGGAATTAATAACGCTCTGGGATTTCATCCAATTGAGTTGACGTCTTGAGCAAAGTTTCTTGGCATAGTAAGAACTACAATTTGGTGAATAAAAATAGCTAAAGTTTTGGCCACAAAGATGGCGCTGCGATACAAACTTTTTTATTTCGCAAGCTAGAAAACTTTTCTGTACTAATGGATATTTTTTTCGCTATTGAAAATTTAGTCGATTTATGTATGTATGGGCCCAAATTAGGGGCATTTAAGCCGACATTACATCCATTTTCCCTATTACATATCTACGCCAAATCAGAATGGGTCATTTTGCCGGAATCCGTTCGGCAGAATGGGTTATCATCACGACTATTGGTTAGAAATTAGGTACTACATTCCACGGTTTAAGCACAAAAGGTCGAAAGGACAAAAGCTGATGTAAATATCCTGAAACTGATTTGTCATGATTTCAAACAAATGCTCAAAAGTAAAATATGAATTTATACTATTTTCGCATCTTTGAAAGGTGCTCGTTCTTTAAAATTTGGTTTTCATTGATTTTGCTGTAATGTTGAATGATATAATACAAATTACTATCCTTCTTAGAAAGTTTAATCATGAGAATTATTTGAGATACTATGACTGAAATTTGCATTTAGACTTTGAGTTTATGCGAGTCGATTGAAATCTGCCCAAAATAAATGGGGGCTAAATTGATTCTTAATATCAGGAAATCAGTTTTTGGACTTAGACCTTTTGCCCCTTCGAACTTTTGTCCCTTTCGACCATTTGTTTTTTTTTTTGACCTTTTGTCCTTTGGACTTTTATCTTTTGACCTTTTGTCGTAGATGCACTATCCACCGACTCTTCTTATGACATTACTCCGAATGACCCATTTCACCGAATGCCATTAACACTGTTTAATTCAATTTTATGTCTCAAAAATGGCTCTTGATATAAAGAAAGAGATCACTACAGGAGAGAGAAGTGACGATGTGCCACAGGAAAGTGGAACAATTTCGCCATTGGGGACAACGGATTGAACATATTTTACAAACAATCTGTTGCAGACTTAATGCCTACTTAATTTAAGTCGAAAAAATTACTTTTCTCTAGTGCGAAAAATGTTAGACTAAAAAAAATATATCAAATATTTTATAAGATTTCTGAATAAGAAAATAAGGTCCATCAATAGTTTCTTAAAACTTATCGTTAATATTCCTTCAGCAGCTAAATAAATGGTCATCGGTTTTTTATATGACACGATGTTTTTTCTAATTTTCAATAAACATGAACGTTTTTCTTAACAAAATATTACCTAAGTCCATTCGGGGCAATATGAGCACCACTGATTTTTAAAACATTTTCTACTTAAATTCTTCGATTTTGCATTATTTATTTTATGTATCATATGAAATCACGTTTTGATGCAGCTGTTTTGGTAAAAAATCAGTTATACACAGATTGAAAAAATATAGTAGGGGAAATGGCTCTATTGTTGGCCTATGGATCTAATATTTGGTTCCATCGCTAAAAATCTGCTATTTATCAATTTTATCTAGATGAACGCGTCATTGGGACGGTACTAATGGATATTTTTGGTCACTATTGAAAATTTAGTCGATTGCTGAATTTATGTATGGGCCAAAATTAGGAGCATTTAGGTCGACATTACATCTATTTCCCCTACATCTTAAAATTAATTTTTCTACAGAAAATAATTGTTTATTTTAAACATTGTTGACCCGTCTTTAATCCTCATGAAAACAGAATATTCTTACCGGTTGTTTCTAGGGCACTCAAACCACTCGGATAGGGTGCTTATTTTACCCCAATGGGTTTATTTCGGTTACAAAACGAGCATTTTTTAGATCTTCTTTCATAAGGTTCAAAAGTTTACTTCTCAATTTGTATTCATGATTTAAATAAGGTTTGAAACTATCCATTTGGTTAAAAATCATTCGTATTTTCCACAACTGATGATTTTCTTAAGGTGGCCAAGTTACCCTACTTTCCCCTATTATGTTACTGATTAGAACAAGTAAAAAATATCACAGAGGCACATAGATGGATTATTGGAATAGATATTCATCTTCAATGTGTACAAGTTCACAGATTTATTCCACACGGTCTTTGGCTGAAGAACAACCTCCCGATTTTTATGTGATAATTTTCATACTTGTTTCTCTCAAATTCAAGAAAACCCGAATGAACAATCAAATCGAAAAAGCATCATAAAATCACATGACCGAGACTTGAAACTCAGCTTATTTGTTTTACCAAAGAAACACGAAGCCATTACAGCAAAATATGGTAAATGAGTAGTGAATCACCACCATCATTATAACGAAAAAAAAAATAAAAAATATTCCGCTTCGGAGACACAATCAGAAACGTGTTTCGGAATCTTTCAAATAAAAAACCAATAATCATCATCATTGTGTAGTAACCGCGCAGCCACACAAACCGCACATTGTGCGACCGTAGTCCTGAGTGCTATCCTACTATCCACAGACAACGACGACGACGACGACGAGATGAGGATGAGATAACCACTCACAGTCCCAACAACAAAAGCCCCGTCCACGAGAGCGTTACTGGTGTGTCATTAAAACAATCAATGAACGAACCACCCGGTATGGCGTGTATGTAGATAGTCATCTGTCAAAACTCAACAGGTGGTGAGACGTCGTCGTCCCCCCGTCCATAAATGATGCCTTCCGGTTGAAGGATGGTGTTCGTTGATCTCAAACTGTTATTGGGTCAACATGAAAATTAATTGCCGTTTTGAAAACAGTAGATCTATTCACGAAAGAACCCCCTGCTTCCCCCCTCAAGGTACCACCATCACAGACCGCAAACCTAACCGGACCACAGTGGGGTGAGGGCGGATATAATTGAAAAAAAAATCAAGTGGTTCGGGTGTTTTGATATTTTTTTCTATAGTATAATCTGCATTCGATTCTTTTGAGAAATCATATAACATACATAACTTAGGCGTGTTTTATCTCGTTTAAAAATTTAATTATAGTTTATTTTTAAATTAAGGGTACATCATATCCGTTAAACAATTTTTTTTTCCGATCGATAAAATTGAATAGAAAATCGTTTTTTAATCGTATATCAGAGTTGGTTGGAAATGCTAACATGAAGCTTTAGTGTGATAATTTATTAGCTGGAGAATGATCTTTAGAAGGGAGTAGGTGGATAGTTCCGTTAGAGTACGGCAGTATGAAAATTGAATAGAAGTTGGAAATGAGCGAAGGGCCATTAATGCGACAGTTTTTAAAGTTAGACGCACATCTTTTGCCTAACCCGTACGATGTACGCGGAGACTTGAAGTATGTCTAAAAGTCTACAGGCAAAAAATGTGCGTCCTTCTTTTGCTCATAAACTGACTGCGGCTGTGGAATAGTTCTAGCGACATTTTCATCACTACCTAAAGCCCCACGTTGCGAGAGCATTTCCAGTCGATGGTGTGTTATAATGCAATTCTTCTTTACCCAACTATTGTGTTGTTCCTATGTATCGTATATATTCAATCATGAATTACATACAAACATCTCATTTAGTCTCTACAAGAAAACTTTATCAGCTTTGCAAAAATCACATCGGAAACATTCGAAAGTTGGCGAAAAATTATGTCTAGCATCAAAGTAGGTTTTTAATATCTGTAACAATGTTGTTAAACAAATTATGACAATACAAATGTCGAAGGATGCATTTTTCACTCGAAACAAATATTGGCCCCTTGCTGGGTACCTGTTCCGAGTACTATTGCCGAATTCAGTAAATTTAGGCTAAAACTGGTTCCTAGTCCTGAAATTGATCGAAGAAAACCCGTGTTGGTAATTTTCAAGCAACTCCAGCATTTTGTCCAGCTTTTGCTAGGAGTCGCCCCACTATGCGGAGGCCGGACCTTATTGCGCATCAAGTTATTTTCCTTCTTCGCTTTGCGCAGGGCGTTCTTCACGGGACACATTTTGCTCAATGCGGGCAACAACACACACAAAAAAAACATTAAATCACACAATTTTGTATATATACTAACGGTTGCAATTCCGGGGCGTTCCGCAGCTCGGCGATGAGGATCTTCGCTGCCGGTAGGGCCAGCAGGGCCGGATCAAATACCAGCACGTTGTCCCTGTGCCGACCGAGCTTGGTTGAGCCCCCGCCTTCGGCTCCCCCGTTGGAGTCCGACGATTCGAACGAGTCACTCAAACTGCTGGCACTTCCACTGTGGCTGCTGGCACTGGTGATGGCACTGTCCGTCGAACACGCACTGGGATAGCGTGACCTTGGCATGTAGTCTGCCTCCAGGTCCAATTCGGGTTCCAGGTCCGCCTTGGAGTATTTGTCTTTTTTCTTCTGCTTCCGAACTAGATCGGCTGCCGGCGACGACGACGAAGACTTCCGTCGCAGATAGTCCACCGTTCCGATGGTGTTCGTTAGCTTCATAACGTACTTCTTGAACATCATAATAGTTTCTGTTTTTCGTTTTCTCTAGTTTTAGTTTTTTTTTTTCGAACCGCACAAATTAACGTTCGATACCGACGTTGGTAGACTTCGCACTGGTCTGTCGGTGTCGGTGTCGGTGTGGAGCTCGCGCTACAGCTTCCCACTCGGCTTGTTGTTTTCGATGATCAGAGTAAATCTTGTTTACTCTCTCTCACCACGTCCCGTGTGCTTGAGTTATTAACTTCTGCGCGCCTCCACAAGATCAACAGTTTACTTTTTTATTGGCACCTCCTTCTGATCGCTCTTCTTCTTGCTCTTCTCGGCGTCACTTTTCGGAAGAAAATACTCGACTACGTGCTCGAAAAAGAATCCGCCCGACATTTTCGCTCGTTTCGCTTAAATTCCCTTCACCAACAACGACACTACACACGTGGTCAAAACAAACTAAAAAACTATTCACGCACACGTGGCTATCGTTCGCACAAATCAACCAAAAATTTTCGATTCGATGACAAAGCTAGAGGAACAACACAACTTGCCGTAAGTGTAGTCGTCTTCAATTCCTCAACTCAACGCTTTCGAATACTTGACTCGCGACGCACCGGTCCGTGAATGTCGAAGGGAGAGATGCTTTTGGTTGCTGAATTTGCGACAAACTAAACTGATTTACATCGATCGGCTGTCATTTAATATAGACAACAGACTCTCGTCGATCAGCGAATTCTGAAGCGTCTTTTTCGCGTCTTGTGCGAATTAGTATTCGCACAGCGTTTGGCGCCCTGGTGCTGGTTCGCATTGGTCGAGCCCGAGTGGTTTTCCTCTCGAAAATAAAAAGCTCTCACTCTCACTCCCATAAAGTCGCGCTGTGCGCCGTTTAGTATGGTGACTGTTGAGCTGTGAATGGAAAGATGTCAAGCTGCGTGGCTCATGGATCTCTGCGGTGTTCGTTCTTGCTCGCTTCGGTCGATCGGTGGATGTTGGATGGGGGAGGATAAGACAGTTGGCCGACTCAGAACAAGATTGACGCGAGATGGAAGGAACAGGAAATTTGCGATAAGCATTGTGAAATTCTTCTAGCTGCACGCAAAAGAAACCTGCGAGATTGTATGCGGCATTTTTTTCCGAAATGGATCGTAAGTAGGAGAGAAAACGCAATAAGCGCAAGGGGCCGTGCACAAATTACGTACGCAGGGTGGGCAGTGATTTTTTTTTAAATGCACTGTTTTTTCGGTTAACATCTTGGAATTTTCCTGGTTGATTATGGTTACATAACTCGATATCGAGTGAGTTGCCAAAATCGAGACCTTTTTCGAAGTGTCACAATTGAGTGGCTTAGCGATAAGAATCAATACTCCCTTAAGTGAATCCTGTGACTATCGAAAAATTCGTGGAAGTGAGAAGGATCTCTCGGTTTTGACGGTCTAATTAACCTACATTTGGAAGCGGCCAGCGCTGTTATTGCCTAAATGTGAGATGACCAGTTTTTACACATTGCAGATGAATGCTAGTTCAACGCATCGTTTGTTGCTTCTCTGTCAGGTGATCTGATAGGAACGGAGTAGCAACCGCGAGCGGTTAATCAGTTTCATGCTCAATTATGTCTGTACTATCTGAAGTGATTCAATACTTTCTGATGCTTTTCTGCAGTAATTCAGTACTTTTCAAAGTGATTCCGAGATTTTCTATAGTGTTTCAGTACTTTCAGAAAAGATTTTGAACATTTTTTTAAAAGATTCGATGCTCCCCAAAGTGATTCCAATTTTTCTGAAGTAATTAAATATTTTCTGAAGGGATTCCAAACTTTTCTGAAGTAATTAAGTAATTACAAAGTGATTCAGCTCTTGAAGAAGTGAGAGGCTTTGAGACTTGAGACTTGATTGATAGAGAATTGATACAGTACTTTCCGAAGTTTTAAGTCCTTCAATACTATCCGAAGAATTTCAGAGCTTTCCTGAAGTGATTCATTACTTTCAGCATTGATATCAAACTGTTAAAAAGTGATTAAATTCTTTCCGAAGTGATTCAGTACTTTCGGAAGTGATTACAAACTATCTGGAATTATTCAGTACTTTTTGGAGTGATTCCAAACATTTCTGAAGTGATTCAGTACTTTCAGGAATGATTCCAATTTTTCTGAAGTGATTCAGTACTTTCTGAAATGTTTCAGTGCTTTCCTAAGTGATTATGAACATTATGAAGCGATTCAGTATTTCCAAAGTGATTCCGAACGTTATCGTCAAAAGCCTGGAGTATGGAGATTTGAAAGGTTCCTCCATGCAACATGACGGAAGAAGCAAACAAAGAGGTTACAATATTCAAGAAGAGATACGAAAAACATCGAAAAGTGAGAGAAGAGTATTCCAAAACAGATCCCGATTATTCAACAGGACTCAACGAGAATCGAGATGACAAAGATTCAGCAGCTAGGTCGCAATACATAAGCGGTGAGATCTAACTGATTACAACTAGATATAAAAATATGAAATGCATCCTACTAAATACGTGCCATCTAAAGCAGGAAATGCTTTGATGATGGAAGTGTACACATTTTATATCGGTACTACGTGTATGCCGGGCTGGTTGTAAGTGAAAGTAGCCTCGAAATGGACGTGAGTGACCAGGTATTCTGAAATGGGTTACTGAATCTCAACAGAGCTTTCACTTTTCAACTTCCGTGCTAAAATTGTTTGCAATGGGATCAGTATACAGTCAGGAATCCTTATTGCCGGATCCTTATTGCCGGGCTATCCGCGAATAAGGATACCCACAGTTTATGGGATTTTCACTAATTGGGGCTGTAGTGGATTATCTCATTTGTTTCAATACATAAAGCTATACTGTCTTCGACAAAGTTGCTGTACTGGGTTAGACCAACAAGCCTGTGCCATTGGATTCAGGTTAAATTGGGAACTACGCCGCTAGAGGCACTTCACTTTTATGTTATTTATGACGGCCGCTATAATATATGGATCATATTTCCAACATAGAATATTTCGTGATCCTGACCATATAGAAAGTTACTGTCTTGAACAAAGTTGTTCAGGTGACCAAGTCCTTTCGGATGGTGGCCATATTAGTTCAGAACTCTCTCACAACACAGCGCTAGTGTGCATGTGCAATTCCTATATAAACTGTATCTCGAGAGCCTGGCCATATAGAAAGTTGCTGTTTTGAGCAAAGTTGTTCAGGTGATCAAGTCCTTTCGGATGATGGTCATATTAGTTCAGAATTCTCACACTACGCGGCGCTAGTGTGCACATGAACTTCCTTAATATGTTGTGTCTCGAAAGCTTGTTCATATATAAAGGCTGTGCAATGTGAGAACAGGAACCGGAAAAGGGATGACGTGTAGAGGCCGGTAATCGATGGCAGATGCCATTTTGGAATCCAAGATGGCGGCCATCGGTTCAAGAAAAACTGTCAAATACCCTACAATATGGATATTTTTGGAAAGGAGACGACGTGTAGAGGCCGGAAATCGTTGCCAGATGTCATTTTGGAATCCAAAATGGCAACCATCGGGTCAAGAAAAACTGTTAAATACCCTACAACATGGGTATTTCCGGATAGAGAACGACGTGTTAAGGCCAAAAATCGATGTCAGACGCCATTTTGTAATCCAAGATGGCGACCATAGTTTCAAGAAAAACTGTCAAATACCCTACAATATGGATATTTTTGGAAGGAGACGACTTGTCGAGGCCGGAAATCGATGCTAGACGACATTTGGTGGACAAGATGGTGGCCATCGGGTCAAGAAAAACTATCAAATACTCTAAAATATGAGTATTTCCGGAAAGGAAACGACGTGTAGAGGCCGGAAATCGATGCCAGATGCCATTTTGAAATCCAAGATGGCGGCCATCGGTTCAATAAAAACTGTCAAATACCCTACAATATGGGTACTTCCGGATAGGGGATGACGTGTATAGGCCGGAAACCGATGCCAAACGCCATGTTAAAAACCAAGATGGCATTTTTCTTCCATAAAAACACTGCCGGACAGTGGAAGTTGGATTGTATATACATGCATACATACAAAATCTCGAAAATTTCCCGGTTATTGATATTCAGTAATAAACGAAAATGTTCAATGACTACTTTCTTATTAACGCGATCAAAAACAGATTATCGTAAGTAGTGGTGGGAAAATTATAATTAGTGGCAAAACTGTAGGAAGCATTTTTTAAAGCAGATAGTTTATAAATCTTTATAATAATATTTATAAACGTTGTACAATCATCCCTCAATTATGGGCTAGCTAATAATTTTTATAAATCAGTCTGTTCAGCATTCAGTGGAGCATCGACTGAGAGAGGTATCGATTAAACAGAATATCAGAAAAAAAAAACCAAAAGATAATTTAAAATCATAACTAAATCCAATAATTTAATGGTAAATGCTATGATGTTGAAATGAAACTGGAAATTATATTTAAAACGATGTTCGTGTTGTAAAATATTTATTTAGAATTTGTTTACTAGACAAAATACTTATTATTTTATCCTAAAATCTTTCATCTAGATCACAATTAAACTCTAAATGTAGAGTTCAATAATCAATTTCACTGCAACGGAATTATATAAAAAAAATCGACTTAGGGAGGTGAAAATACATGGGCAAATTAATCAGAACACATCGAGTAAAGGAGGTATCGAATTAGGGAAATATCTTGGTAGGGACAGAGCATTTGTTGCAAAATAGAAGGAACTATGAATCATTCAGGCATTGAGTTAGGGAAAATATCGAGTTGCGATTGGGAACAACGGAAACGAGGTGCTGACAAGGCAGCACCGATCAACGTACATCGGTTAGGAGTAGGATAAAATTTAATGAAATAAATTAGTCTGTATTTAGCAATCAAGTGTGGTTGAAGTTCTCTTTTAAAAGAATCTCCCGTATGTAAAACATAACTCGCGCAATGTATTGATTTTCTGAAATATACAAAGTGAGAATCAAGCAAACACAAAGTTGGTTGTTTTTCACCCTGCGCAAGTGTAAAACAGCGGAGAAGAGAAGACCGACACACACCCTGAAATAACGGAAAGCTCAATGTGTAGCCATCGCTCCCACGGCTCCGACGCAAAGAGCGCCACTCAGTGTAGGGTTGGAGATGGGAAACACAGCAAAAAGAAAAAAATCTTCTTTGTTATGCCCTTCTTCAGCTCCTAGGCATGCGCTCGTGGTAAGGAAAGTCTGCAAAGAATTCAAAGAAGACATTAGCGCTATTCGTTCCCTGCGCCGCACGGAGTGTACCGCTCATTGTGTGGAACGCTTTTTCACAAATAAGTTGAAAAAGAGTGTGCGAAGTAAATGGGAGAACCACACACTCTTTGTCGAGTGTTGTGAGATGTATGCACACAGTTGGTTTGCTAACACTCTAGTCGTTTATGTGTAAGGCTCAATTGCGTTAGCTTTACGGAGCCGATAATTCATTGTTCTTTGTTTGTAACAAAATTCACTTAATTCTATGTCTAGTAGGAGTTGGGCCGAATACTCGCGGCTTACCCAAGGTTAGAGGGGTACATTGTCGAAGGATAGAGTAGGAGACTTTCCTCTACCAGATAGTGGCTTTCAGTGAACATAATAAAACACCCTTGCATTATAAGATTCTATTGAATAAAATCAGTCTAGTTTGTAGAACATTATTTAAAAAAAATATGCTTTTTTCTTTTG